GGTTAATTTTATAGAAGAAAACCTTTCAAACAGCCTTAGTCCGTAAAGTTCACACCTATCGGGCTGCGATTGGCTCATGCATTTAATCATTCCTACAGCGTAAAATTCGATTAACGTGGAACGTTTCTAAGCGTTATAGGGGGGTCTACTGTACACGATACTTTCTGTTATTGATGCATTATTAATTTTGATTTGTAAAATCTACGAATAGTTTAAGGCAAATTCGTGAAAATAAACGATAACTATTTTAAAAGTTTTATAGCATATATTTATATGTGAAATCATCTCAAATATTCTGCACTGTACAGTATAATCATTATTAATTAATTACCTGTTGAATTTCAAGTGAGAACTGTAGAACAGATATTCCGAACAATTTAAAAGTAACAATGCCTTTATATTCGTAACAGTAAAATCTTTTTTCACATACTGGAGAGCAGGATACTTTGATTATAGACTGAAAAAATTTCCACCAATTTTCGGGATGAAAAACAATTTTGGACAATATCCCAAATTTATGTAGGCAATCTACATGAACGAAGTCTGCTAGATTTTCTAAAATTTCCTACAGTATTTAAGTAATAACGTATATAATACATTTATCCATTTGGCATGGTTTTAATTCATTGGAATAGTTATAAATACCTGAATATGGGAATTTACAATGTGTTCACTACGACCTTTATACAACATTAGTCGATTCTCTATTTCTGGTATAACTGGAGGTTTCCACAAAGGAGGTTGTCCTTCTGCATGATGCCAAACGTAAATGAATCCGTTTTGCTCAATTGTTTCCCAGCTTCTTATTTTAGCAACTTCTGGAACTAAATTTAAATACATTAGATAATAAATGTTTCTAAAATATTATTCTAAAAGATAAAGGTACCTTTCAAGCATTAGAACAATATAAGCGTATGGTGCATTTGCTTTAGGGCAACAATTAAAGTGAAATCAGTTAATCAATGAAAAAAGACAGACTTACATCGAAATACAATTTTACAGTAAAACGTAGGGTTATATATCTCTGTCAAGCGCAAAGGAAACGGAAGAAAATTGTAGTAAGATTTAGTATTACATATAGAAAGCTTGATTATACAATAAAAAAAAACATTGCATAAGTTAATATAAAGACAGTCAACTTTATTTTTGCTGTAATACATTTGTAAAGGGACTGCTATCAGCAGCACACAACGACCTAGACCAGTGTTTCTCAACAAGGGCGATATCGCCCCCGTGTGGGCGTTTTTCCGTGTTGAGGAGGCGATTAGTAACAATTTATATTTTGGGGGCGAAAAACAATTTTCTGTGCGATATAGTAAAAATTATATTAAGAATAATTAGATATTTTATTCGTTATATCGTACAATAATTAAACAAATAACATTATTTTAGTCACTAGTCTATTCGATGCGGCGCGAATTTGGCGTTAGCCTCGTCCCTGAGCGTCCGAATTTTGAAGCGAAGGGGCGATACTACGTTGAAGGGGGCGACGATTCGTTAGAGGTTGAGAAACACTGACCTAGACGATTGAAACTTTCAATCTATATGTCACATAGCATATCTGGCATCTTCGATCTCAACTTTTCAAATCAGCATGTCAACACAACAAAGGGATGAAATGTACGACAGCGAGCTACTTGCTCTGGGGTGATGCTTAAGAGGAGCTACATTAATGTATTTTGGTAAACCTGCAGGAATTAGTAATCGAGATGAAATCAAAAATTAATAGCTATAGAATAGTGTTCTATTTTTATTCCATTGATTATCGAACAGCTGTTTAAATCATTGACTCATTGTTGAATGTGAATCAGCTGTGGAGTTGTAATCTTGGTTGCAAACATGTTGCAGTTGCTCGTAGTAGCAACTTATACAGCCACTTGCAAACTCTCGAAAATATAAATATCGTAAAAGATATAAGTCACACGTCAAGGTATAACAAAAATATCAAATTTTCTTCGCAAGATAACACACCAGTACTTTAACTAACATCTTTCTTACCTAGAGCTTATTTCGCGCAGATGTAACGCACTTTCAAGTAGTACACATTATGTCAGTTCACCATTTTAGAAATAAGTGCTTGGTTGATTTATACCATTTTCTCCATTACTAGTTGTGTAACCAAGAGTAAATTGATCACTATGTTGACACAATGTAGTATTGTATTTTCATATTGTACACAAAAGTACATTCTCAGTGCGTGAACGCTATATATTGTGCTAGTTGCAAGTACCAGTTGAAACTGGCACAATATGTAGCGTTCACACACTGAGAATGTACTGTTGCATAGCTGCCTGTTATGTATTTCTCTTAATCTATCTGCTATTTGTGTATGTTGTAGTCTTCTCACATGCGTAGAATTATGCCTACATTATAAAGCAGTGTGATCAGGCTGAATTTTTGTGTGCTATCGATTTTATTCAAACAACCTGTTACATCTACATGTGAATTTGTGTAGTTATAAAGTCTTTGTAAATTAACGTGCAGCTTCTCGTGAGTTTTATTTTCAGTCAAAGATTTTGCAATGTTGTTCCTGTATATATGACAGGTCAATGTCCTATGCAATTTGCAGACTGTTTAATGTGGCCAATTTAATAGTTTACAATGTCTGATTCAATGTGATTTATCATATGAAATGTTACAGTGAGTATTGATATTTGAAAACTGCTTCAACTTAACTGCATTAATTACACAGATAATTTCGTTTAAGTAATTAATATAACTATTATCATTGATGTGAAACTAATGCACTTTTTTTTATCTATTCACAATGCAAAAAAATTAGTTTTGAGCACGAATCAGCAGTATATATTATTGCCATAGCTGTATTAAATATATATATTTTTAGTAGTTCTTACTTTTTTCGGCGTAAGGTATTTTTACGCAAGAACCATCCTGTCCAGCAAATCGCCATCCGTGGAAAGGACATTCGATGCAATCCTCGTGAACTTTTCCATCCGTTCCTAAATGCGCTCCTAAATGAGGGCAATACGCATCTAAAACAAAACATGTTCCTGTTTTTCCACGAAATATCACAAATTGCTGACCTGTAAAGNCTCCTAAATGAGGGCAATACGCATCTAAAACAAAACATGTTCCTGTTTTTCCACGAAATATCACAAATTGCTGACCTGTAAAGTAATTAATATTATTTTTATCATAAAATTTTAAAATGTATTTTCATTTATTTATAAACGTACCTTGCGTAATAAAGATTGGGTATTTTTACAATAAATGTATATACTAATTTTTTCACATACTGTTTAATAATTAATCTGTATTCTTATATATATGTGTAAAATTTATACATAAACGATTGCTAATTACAATGAAAAAAGGAACAAGGTTTTATAAACAAAAGTTATTACCTGTTATTACTAAAATCAAGCATTATTTATGTACAAAATTGCAATACAAATTTTACTACGTCAATTCGTATTAAAATTTCAGTAAGAATTTCTACTAAAAAATTATTAATTTTTTATAAGTAACTAATAACAAAGCATGAATTTAATGAAATCAAATCAAATTAAATCAAATGACTTTATTTATATTAGGCGTTAGCCTGTCAGAAAGGGTGTTTGAAAGATTATATAACAAAAAAATTTAATACATAATATAATCAGACAAAGATTTGAAAGTTTATATTATGTTTTTATTTATTATTGTTAACATAAAACGTATTTTAGTTCATTACTAACACGAATATTAATATTTTATTAATATGTTAAAAAGAATTTTTGCGCATAGTTATATAAATTATAAATAGTTGTATTTTTTCCACGTGAAAGAAAAGATTAATGGAATTTTAATTGCAGTAAAGCCCAAAGCACTGAGATTGTATCTTTTTCGTATATTTTGGGCTTCTCTACGTATACAGAACATATACGCAATTTAGTAAGTTTATTACCACATCTTCGACAAACAGCCTTAGAGAATTATTCATTATTCATTATAAGCATGTTTCTATGCAACCTTGACGTCCATAACCCGAGATTACTCTGGTTGTGCATGACGCTGTGCAGTCCATTTTCCGAGATATCTCGGGCATATTTCGAGATATCTCAACTTATACCTTTTCCGAAAATGTATGTTTCAGCATATATACATCGTTATCTATGATCTGTGTAAATTTTATAGAATTATTTTTGCTTCGAAAATATTTTATGACGATTTATTAATTAGGGAATTAATCGCGCTATTGTTTATTTATGGGAGTTTTTTAATCAAATTAATTAAATCGTTTTAAACTTATATTTCACCGATTTGATTTCTGTAAAATTATTTAAAACGCTATTGGATGTTTTTTATGACATCAACAGATTTTTTTTTGGTTTTTGTTTAGTAGATTTTTTTCCCATACCTATTTTTCGGTTCCCACATAATTTAATAGCATAAAAATCGACAATATCGTGTTATATTTGAACAGATGCGAAAAGATAGCTCTTCTCCTACTTTAAACCAATTTTCCCCTTAAGCATACATGAGAAAAACCCAGGAACTAGACTCCAGCTGTTCTCAAGGTCAACCAGTTTGTATACAACGTATACTGTACATGTGAAATTTTACGCCTTGGTAAACGTAAGAATAACAATCCTTACAGCAATACTTTTCAAAAAAATCATTTATTTTAAATTATTTTATTTTTTGTAACTTTTTTTTTGTAAAAACACTTTTTGGAGGAGTTTTTATTTTGTGGAAATTATTTCATGGCAATTTTTTTGGATGCCAGATTCGCGTTAGTGCGAAATTAATTATTTAATATATAAAATTAACTTTTTAGTGGATTTTTTAGTTGCATTTGGATCGGAACTGATGTAGCGAGGGGGTCAAACAAAAAAGTTTTCTACATTAAACTGTCAGTTTGTATGCTTATATCAGTTAAAACATTATAATATTAAAAAAATTAACTTACATCCAACTGGAATTTTACGATTTTAAAGATCACTAATGTCTTGGGCCAGAGATATTTCCAAAGCGTTTTGAATTAATTGAGAATTTAGCAAATCACTCGTTTCAGATTTTATCATAAATGGATCTATCCAGAAACCAAACTGTTAAAAGTGTGTGTAAGCTGACTTACCCAGATTTTCCTCGGCATATAAACGAACGATTTTTTAATATACAGTAGACCCCCTATAACGCTTAGATACGTTCCAGGTTATAAGAATTTTACGTTGTAGGAATCATTAAATACATGAGCCAATTGCAGCCCGACACGTGTGAAGTTTACGGACTAAGGCTGTTTGAAAGGTTTTCTTTTATAAAATTAACTGATTCTAGACGAATTCCACTCAACATTTCCAAAACACGTATAATTTTTTGAGAATAATCTGTATAATCTATGCTATAAACTAGGGGTGTCCAAACTTTTCGTTTCTCTGGGCCGCATTAGAAGAAGTCAAGGAGTTTGGGCCACCAGCAG